TTTTTTTTCTATTGTTTTTAGTTGATAATCCGCTCTATAAATTTTGATCAAAGTAATGTCGAATAAAAATAGACATAAAAAGCAAAACATTCTCAAGGTTTTTCATTTGCACAGTCGCCATCAACTCATTTTTGATAGTGATCGAATGGTATAGGCGCGCGCGCGTGTGTACGTGCCCTTCAGTTGATGGTTCACGCATCTTCTTCTATCGTTTTCTTTTTTTTTGTGTCGTTGTCGTTGACGAAAAAAAAAAGTTACGACAACGAATTGTGTCAATGATCGAGCAAGGACGTCATTATAAAGATACGTCGTCGAAATATCATCCTCAAATACATACACAAAATAATAAGAGACATACAGATAGTTAAAAATGATCACATTTACGTGCTTTATATCAAATATATATTTATATATATAGGAATAGAAAAAGAAAAAGGTAATTGTGATAACAGATAATTATTGCGGTAGCAAAAAAACCACATTGTTCAGGATGAATACCCTTAACACTAATAAATACATTTATTTGGTACTTCTTTATTAAATAATTCTTTGTCAAGAAGACCTTACTCAAAAAGTAACTACGTATATATTACAGGAAATATCTTGATAAAATACGATATACGTCGTTATAAATTAGATAAATCTAAAATAAAAGATAAAAAACAAGAAAAAACAAAACATCAAAACAAGGTGGGAAACTAATCACATCATTCGACCAGCTGTGTCTATAGATTTTTTTTTTCTTCTTTACTATCGTCATACGTAAATTTACAAAAGAAAAAATTCTTTTAGTCAAATATCTTATACAATCTTTCAATAAAGTTATTTGATTTATTCTAAACAAATAAAGACTTTCATGCAACAAATAGTCAATATGAAAGAGAAGAAGAGAGAGACAGCTGATTTTCATGTTTAATATCCAATCAATATTTTCTTATGTATATTCAAATAACAAATTTTTTATTGGTGAAAATTTTAATCCAATAAAAACAATTGAAATATGAAAAGGGATGATTCATTCATAGATTTCGGATTACAAAATAATTTTTTTTGATATTTTATTTAAATTTTTATGTTTTTTTTGTCTTGTCTTTTCGATCAATGACAAATATCGATTATTTACGTCAAATTGAAACAGCTGTTCTATCATGTGTATCATCAGATCCAATACGTCGTCAACAAGCATATACATTTGTTGAAGAAATTAAATCAAATCCAACACAATCCATTTCAATTGGTTTTGATTTTTTTTAATAAAAATCAACAATTTAATCCATTAGTTAAACATTTTGGTTTACAATGTATTGAAGAAACAATAAAATATAAATGGACATCACTTGATTCACAATTAAAATTATCAATTAAAGAACGTTTGTGGTTATTAATGACTGAACATGATCAATTACCTGTTCATCTTAAAACGTAGGTATTCGTTTAGTAAATGCTTCACAATAAATATGTGATAATAATTAAAGGTGGTGTTTCTCGCTATCAAAAAAGTGTTCCATCTTATGATATTATATCATATGAGAAGATGGAACATTATTTTGTGATGCGAAACACCTGCCAAATGAATACTAAAACAAAAGAAAATTTAATTCGAAAGAAAAAAAAAAATTTTTTTTTTACCTTGTATTTAGAATTTTAGTTCGTTGTGTTTGTGAAATAGCTAAACGTGAATGGCCTCAACAATGGCCATTATTTCTTGATGAACTTGTTACATTATCAAAATTAAATTCAACAAATGATTATTCATTATTAATATTAGCTTATCTTATTGAAGATGTTATTGTTCTTCAAACATTAAATTCCATACGTAAACGAGATATTCAAACAACATTATTACAACATGGTACTAAACTTCTTGAATTTATTGAATATTTTCTTGATTTATCAAATACAATATCAAGTGCATTATATGCATTAACAATGTTTGCAACATTTCTTCCAATTGAAATTTTTTTTTCAACAAAAATTATTGATAAAATTGTTTATTTACTTAATTCATCAATACATCGTATGAAAGCAGCTGAATTTTTAAGTGTTATTTCAGATCGTCGAGGTAAATATGAAGAACGTTTACCATTATTACAACTTTTTTCATATTTATTTCAAAATGGTTCACATTATAATGATTTATATTCAATAATAAATATTCAACAATCAAATGATACATATGATTTTATGAAACAATATGCTATGGTTATAACAGCATTATGTGAACAATTATGTTATTTATGTGGTAGTGATGATTTAAATAAAAAAGCTCCATTACCAGAACAATTTTCAAATGGTAAATTTTTACAAGTATTATTAACATTAATGCAACATCCAAGTATTTATATATCATTATATGGTTATCAAATGTGGTTACAATTAATTAGAGCAAATATATTTCAAGAAAATGATTATCAAAATATTTTACCTATTGTTCTTCGATCTTTATGTCATTCATTAGTTAAACAACTATATAAGAAAAATGTCGATAGTGAACAAGGTAAATAAAAAATGTCATATAAAAATATTTGAAAAAGAAATATTAATATACAAAAGTATTATGGGTTAAGGCTTATATGATATAAATGTACATTTTGACTTCTGTTTACTTGACCTTGAATCATGTCAATGACGTTGATTATTTAGTTTTTCTTTTTTTGTGTTTTTTTTTTTTTTGAAAGGAAAAAAATAACCTTACTAATATATTTTATATTTATCATCTGTATAACTAAGATCTGGATTATTTGACATATATTTGTCATATTTAATCAAAGAAAAATTAAATATTTTCAGATATATCTAATAACTGGATTTTAACCCATTTTTGTTTTTGAATTTAAAGCAATATACTTAATATATATTAGAAATTGACAGTGTATAACTCAGATCACTTTTTGATAGCCTGGCATGTTTAACCTAGGCTCACATCTACACCCATCTTGAAGACATTACTTTTTCGATATTTTCTCTTTGGGTATATTGTTTTTGTGCTTTTTGTCTTTTCGATATTTTCTCTTTCGTCCTTTCTACGATCAACCGATGGCCTCAATTCGACCCATAGCAAGCCAAGAACGGCCTATGTCTCACCGACTCGACTTCTATTCTATTAAAGTCCGCCTCGACATAACTTAGAATGACACTATTAAAAGTATATTTCTTCTACCGAAAAGATGTCTACACGATGAAACTTCACAATTACTGTAGTCATCAACTAGACTATTGTATAAAGTTTATTATCATAGTGATCATAAGTTGAATAAGGTCAGACAAAAAAAAAATAGCATATGAGTTAAGTCGAATTACTCATTGGATCGAAAGAGTAAGACGTATTTACGGATAGTTCAACTTCTTGAAGACTCTCATTTATTAACATAAGCTTTAACGAGTAAAATACTCTCTGATCAATTTCAAATAATACTATTTTTAGTTATTACATAGTTTCACAATAGTAACACTCGTACCACTTAATACCATTGATAACGCACTTAGTCGTGTGTGTGTAGATAAGGAATGTCATTGAACCGAATAAATGCTCTGCTTTTATTTTATTGACTAAATGAAATTTCCAAAATATTCGTATAAAGATTCCTGATTGTTACCTATTGCGACGTGTGAAAAACTCTGTAGAACTATCTGCACAGATCATATCAGTAAAAAAAAATCGAAATTCGATAATAAATGACGACACTAGGTTCAACCTACAGATTTCATTTATTTGTCAAATTTAAAATCATGATTCTTGAGTACATTGTTATAGTATAATTATTTTTTCTTCCTGTTTGAGCTGTACTTTCTGCAAAAACATTGTCAGAAATCCTCTAGAATCAAATCACATTCACTATATTAATATTTATTCTGTAAATCTCAATTAAGTCATA